TTATATTTTCGGTTCTGTATAAGTTTTATAAAGTGTACTACCGGTAGTACAAAGGCCTAAATCCAATCCATTAATAATAGTTTTCATTTAGTGAGCAAAGAAATTCGGATCAGTCAGACCTTGATATAATTTCCAGGTTTGGAAACAAAAATTTGATATATAATAACTAAAAAATAGTGTGACTATAAACTATATCAAGAGTGATTATCACAAAATTTGAATGTACTTTAATTCTTTGAATTCAAATACATAATACAAAAGTTGCTTTATTATTAGTCTAATTTCACTTTTCTTAATATAAATCAATCTGAAATGGGTGCCATGTCGTATTCTCCAGATAAGAAAATCTACCAGGTTCGTCAGATTTAACATATTCTATCCGAGCTACTTTCAACCTAGATTTTTTAGATGCAATAGATTCGGGAAGAATGCAGAATTAAGACATTATACTTAGAAATCACATATGCATTAAGAATTGGGTGGATTTATCGGATTTCTTCAGTAAATTTTCAATATTACATATGCAGCCTGCGTAAGAAATTTGAATTATTCATACATAGGTATAAACAATCTAACGTTATGCATACAATATTCCTAGGTGCCATATAGAGGTCAAAAGGTATGAAATTACAAAATTATATCTTGAAGGTGTGATACAGAAACAAATGTTGGGGTTGAGACGATGCAGAAAATGACCATGTATGTTATCACTTGGTTAAGGTTCTTATTCTTGTACTCTAAATACATGTATCCCCACGGGATGTGCGGTTATTTTTCTGTATTTACCAAAACTTTGTTCTGTACCATACCATAAAAAGTATAGTACTGCAATTAATTGTTTTTTTTTTTATCGTTATGATGTAATTCAGTAATTAATTAGTTTTTCTATGATGTAATTACACAAGTATGTTTACATTTGCAAAATTGGCGCGCAACTATTTAATACGGATCTTCATTTGCCCTAACCACAAAAGTCGCATATTAATTAATTCGTGTTAGGGAAAATTTGTGATTTAAATTCATTTGAAGCAAGTATATACATAATGAAAGATGTGCAAGGACTGCAGGTAAGTATGTTGCCTCTCTTATGAATAACGCATTACTTAACAAACAAGGAATCTTATTTCATAATACATTACTTAAAAGGAATTCAAATATTTAATTGTAACATTTATTCGACGCCCTTGGAGTTTGACAATTAATCCGATTTCGATTAAAATAGGTAATTTATTTGTTTTACTATGAGTTTTTGTATGCAAATCCACGATCAAAGTTGGATTGGAAACTATGGTAACTGGTAACTATTTATTTATAGATATTGTGCGTCAAATTAAAGTTTTCGTCAGAAATAGAGTTTCATTAGAGTTGGGGTGAAATCTTAAGTTAGAGGGTAAGTATTGGCGGGATTGTAACTATTTAATCCGATGCAGGTATTAATTTGGCGCACAACATAGACAATATTTTTCATGAAATAATACTTCATTTCACGAATTCAATTTTAAACCTCTTTATTTTTAAAAAATACGATGTTTTTTTTTCGATAATTCAGAAATCATAATAAAATTATGTGAATTTTATCCTTTATTTACATAATACTTATTACATGAATTTTACGTATCCGTTATTTACATAATACTTATTAAATCGGATTTTAGTCGTAAGTACATTATTAAAATTTAATCTTAATGTTCTTGTGAACCATAATGACTTTATCTCATATTAATATAATTAGTTAACATAATATCGATTTTGCCCATAATTTATCGTCATATAGTGAATAAAACCTAAAGAAGTTAATCCATTATCCAGCCCATAACGATCTTCGCCTCACGATTTTTGCCAATAATAAAGACGTTATTGCCTCGATTCTTGATTGCGACACACTCTAGCCTCGGCATACCATCGATTTGAACGCGTTCCCAATTTTTTTTTACGGGACAAAAAATATTCATATCTTCGTTTTTTTCCGTATCATTGTATTTTCGAGCTCCACCTAAGATAATTATTTTACGACGCATAATAAATATGGCTGCTCCACACCTTCTACCGGGGCCTATACCACTCGTCGGTATCCAATCTTTTGGAAGACATAAACGTGATGACGGCGATGCTAGGTATTTTCGCCAAGTGTTTTTACAACTATCATAAACCCACATATCGTCGTCATCGTGAATGGAATTTAGAGAATGGAAGGTAAGGTGTTGGCCGCCATAAATGTACAGCAACCCATTGATCACACCACTCGTGTGGAGAGATCTTGGGTACGGAAGGTTAGAACTCTGATCGTATTTGACCCAAACATTTTTATCAACGCTATAAATGAAAATGTCTTTTGTATCATAAAGTTCCTCTTGTAGATAATAAAGCACGAACATGAATAACACACAAACGTTGATATAAGAGAACATATAAATAAATACGATCGGAGTTTTAAGAACAATAAAGCGCAATATTGTCTTTCTCCAAAATACACTTACTTCCATGCGTCATACAACGTCCTCCAAAAAGTATTATATGACCACTATCTACAGAGTCAAAGGAGTGCATTAATCTTGGAGTAGGGTAATTCCCATTCACAATCACCTTACATAAGTTCATGGTCCGTATATCTAGCCTATACATTATATTAGTTGGCTGCCCCGTTAATATACTTTCACCACCAAACATATAAATCTCATTTTTTATTGCGGCACCAGCGGTAGATCTAATCGGATGGTATTCTTCACGATTCATCGAAATTAAAATAGGGACTTGTATCCATCTGACCGTGCTTTGGGCAAAATCTAGAATCCAACACATAGGTGCATTTTCAGTGAGAACAACAATATAAAAGTTTCCATCGATGAGGACGCCATCTCGATAATTTGAGATTGGTGGGGCGATAATTAAATCATTAGTTATATCTTTCCAGATTGGTGAATTAACGCCAAAATGAAAGATCCTTGCAGCACGACGAAGCTGTCGGCATGATTTCGAAAGATTTTGTAGGTCTCTGACATTTAAATAGTCTATTATGATGTCAATCGTTTCAATTGGCATTGTCAGAAGACCTTCTTTGGTGGGAAGGATAGATTTCATGGTAAGGAACGCATTCACTAAAAAGGAATTTCTTTAATAAGGGAAACCTAGAACAGCTCCTTTCGTCTTTGTAAGTAAAACTAGTTATACGTAAGGGAGAGCATATTCATGTCACAAGTAAAAGAAACGATATAGAGAACTATTCTAATTCTTTCCCTTCATACATTATCATTTTATGGGTGGTATTCATTCTATACTTGGAAAAATGTAATTGATAACATTTTACTAATTTACCATTTTGGGTAAAATAAAATAAATAAAAATGTATACCATCAGAAAAGACAAAATATAAATAAATAAATAAAAATGCATGCCATCAA